GTGTGTGTGTGTGTGTGTGTGTGTGTGTGTGTGTGTGTGTGTGTGTGTGTGTAGTGTGCTGTAAGAGTTTCTTCAGCTGTGTCTGAGAGGACATCAGTTTACACATGATGCCTCCCGAAACCATCAAGCGAAAGACGAAATACTGTTAATAGAGAGCAATTCGGTTGTGCAGTGAGTGGCTCTGTGAGTGCGTCACAGAGAGAGTGGTTACTTATTTCGGTGAAAGTGTGCTGATTAAGATTGAGACTAGGGCTCTCAACGATAACAACTGGCAGCGAAGTAAGCAGACGCTGATAAAGAGCGAGTTTGGACAGGTGGAGGCGACCGTGGGAGGAGCACTCACGCGATCACTCTGCGGTCCGGGCCAAACTCGGCCTCGTAGAATCCATCTTTGCAGTCCTTTCCCACCAAGTCGTGCGGATGTGGTCGGTACGGCTCGTTCTTCGTCACCAGGTAAACGCGCACCTTTCCCTTCCCACAGTAATTCAGGATCTGAGGAGAAGGAGGAATGGTGTGCGTTCAGACGCATGTAGAAAGGACACATGCTTAGGTGCTTCTATGCACAAATACACAGGTTACTGCGGTCGAGGAGGATTGGGGTCAAACCTGCAGGCTGGGGTACGTCCTGTTGTTGTCAGAGCTCTTCTCTCCCGGGATGCTTCCGGCTGAGCGACCCTCACACTTGTACCTGAAGCGCATTCCTCTCTGCTTGGGCTGCTCGAAGATCTGAATCCCCGGCTCAGGCACTAAGGAGGGGGTGACAACAAGCAGACGATAAACAGATTTGATAAGACGACAAAAGAAAACCCGAGTGTGAATCCGACACAGTTATCTGCTTTAGTTTTTTCCTGTTTGGGCTGCCACATGAGTGGTTTGGTGCTGGGAGGCAGGGGGCTCAAAACCTACATCTAACACTCAAATTTCTTTTTCTCAGCAAACATTTCGACATGTCGCAGCAGTAAAAATGCAGCTGTACAGGATAAAAAAATGCTGGCTGCTTTCCATTTAGCTGCCTCAGTTTCAGGTACAGTCATTGCCTTCTTGGGAACCATGATTTTAGTGACACCTGAACCTTTCCCACTATGTCGAGCCTGCTGTGAAAAAGGTTTATTATGGTTTAATACCAATCTTTAAGTACTGGTCTATGAACCTTAAAAGGAACCTATTAGGCCATTTCCTTTTTTTTATTTTATATACTCTAACAATTGTGAACCTTCATATTAAATCTAGTGACTTACATCAGCACATGTGTAAATTTTTACTTCAGACTGCTTTTAAGGCTCCATTTTAGAAAGTTCATCTTGGCTCTGTGTGATGTCACTGAGAGCATCTATCCCTAATATGGTCATCTCATGCAAACAGTTCTGGCTGTGCGCACCTACTGCTGTTCCCTTTCTGAGGGGCAGCAAATGTCTCTTTACACGAAAAGGGCCTAAAACAAAGGGCCTGCACCAGTGTGATATTAAGAGGCATTATTTTGAGAATCAAATCATGTTAAGCTATTTCAGTAGAATCTGAGACTAAAAATATGGAAATTAGCAGGTCTGTTAGAAAGTGATTTCTACATACTAAAGATTGCTGCATGAACAGACCTATTGAATTCAACCCAGATGTGTAGAAATCTTTCAGCTTTCAAACAACTTTATGCTGATAGGACGTGACTGCAAATCTTAACACAAGTGTTAACTCAGAAAAGCACATTTCAGCCATTCGGCATAATGACAAGGCATGAAATTTGTTTCCTCAACCTTTTTTTTTTTTTTTGGAGGAAATAAAACCGACCCCACATGATGCCCGTGCAAGAGAGGAACTAAAACTGATCCGGGAAGCGTTTCAGTTTTTGCTGTACACTGTTTCCACTGAAGTAACAACACAAAACGTGGTTATTTTTGGACATGACAGCAAGCACTCAGATCAGAGTGCTGCTTGTTATTCCGGCAGGCCAGTATGAAACAAGTCAAGTAACATTTTTGAAATGATTTAGAGAAAAAAAAAAAAGGAAAAGAAAAGAAAAGAAAGAAAAGTGGCCCAGTCAAGTTTTGTCCTGATCACTTTGCAGGAACTGAAAGATCATGAGGCTCAAGCGCACTCACTACACACTATATAAACACACACACCGGTAAAGACAAAGATTACAAGAACCTCAGGCTCTCTCACATCCTTACAACATAAGTCTGAATATACAATGCTTACCAATAAAACAAAAAAGAGGAAGTGAAAAGACACTATTCAGTGAACCATCACCACCCCCCCCAACACACACATTTCTGCACTTTTAAGTTTTAACCTGTGAAGACTATTTTTGTCAGGAGCACAAATGAAATTGACTTACGTAGGTGTGCTTCGTCCCGCAGCACGGAGGACATAAGAACTAGAGAGGAAAATGTGACACAGAAAAAATTTAGGCAAATAGATATCCAAATCACACACAGAGGAGTTGTTCTGTGGCAGTAATGGCGCTATTGCTAAAACTGGTCTTGTAAGCACAATCAGTTTAGCTAAAGCTGCCCAACCAATAACACTGCTAGTCATGCAACAACGAGGAAGTTCACAGCATTCAGCAGTGACAGTACCCACAACCAGTGTCGAATACTATCAAAGTCAAGAGTAAGTACTCCAGTTCGTGGTGATATTGTACAGCTACACGATGACCTATAGCCAGTACTACATTTTCGACTTTTTGACTGACACAGGTACACAGGTGTGGTTATTACAGTTTGTTCCCTACCCGCTCACTCTACACGTTTATCGCTGTTATTACACAGGAAATAAAAGGTGTTGCTACTCACCGTCCATGATGCAAACACTCTTTCACTCTGTCACGGGTTATTGTGTCTTGGAGAACCTCGGGCTGAATGAGTGACAGCGGGCAGAAAACTATTTTTTGTCAAGACACTAGCGGGGGAATTCCCGTCCGTCACATCTGATCTAGCCAATGAGAAGCTTCCGTGAAAAAAAAGGGGCGGGGTCCAGACGATTCACTCTCAACTATGCCTCCTCCCTGCCCGGTCGCTCGAGGAAATGCACGGCGCGGTCCACGGGGGTCGGTCCTTCAGGGCTGGAGGTTAAAGTGGGTGGCGGAAGTGCGAGAATGAGGGTGGGCACATACGTAAAGAAGAGCCACGCAACAGCAGCCGCAAATAAAGAACACGAAAAATTATAGATGATAGAGATAATAGATATCAATTAGGGAGCACCACACGCACAGCCACTGTGTGTTTACATATACACACTGTTATACACAGCAGCCGTATATATAACATATACAGCAGATATGAGTACTGAGCGATACCAAGTAAACACAGGAACAGTGCTGTCACTACCAATACTGATACTTTTAACATATAACGGCGGTAGGGGAGAGCAAGTATGTCATGATTTACGAGATGAATTTGCAAAATTCTGAACACATTTGAATGACCACCAAGTCACTGTGATTCTTTACTTTACACAGTAGTTAATACAACAAAACACAGTTCAGCTTTTCATGTATGTTGTATCTAGGTTGTAAATGCGCCCGTCTCTAAAGCACTTTTTGTCGGCTTCTGTTGTCAACCTGTCCTTTCTGGGCTTAACTAAGCATCTCTGAGATATCCTATATGTTAAAACATTAAGTGCTATTTCAACAGAAATAAGTCTATCACTAAAAATATATTGGTTTAAAGTTAAGTAAATGTGCAAAGTTTTATGACTCTAACTTACTTTGGTGTGGCATAAATGGGAACACAGAAAAAAACTTATGAAAATACAGGTAGAAGTCAGAAATTTCTTTATTCCTTCACATTTTCCAAAATCATCCAGTAGGCCAGATTGAATTCTTTACCAGCCGATTCTGGATCCTATGCCATATGTTTGAGGTGTATTTTCTTAATTTCTGGGGGAGGCAAAAAAAAAAAAATCGTATAAAACAATTTAGTGGGCTACATACTGAACTTAGAGGATCAAAGCAAAGTTATTATTGTTGTAGTACCAGTATCAATCCGATACCACTACCAGCATTGGTATTTATACTTTAATCAGCCCAGCTCCAGTGTTTTCTCTGCTGTTTTGTAGTTGATAGTGTAGGCAATTGGCTATTCTTTATTGAATCTGCAGCTCAGAAAAACATCTGGTATTTGTTCATGACTTTTTTAGCTTTAGAGTTGCCAGTATGCAAGTTCTCAGGTTAAGCTGCCGCACTAAGTCACATTTGCAACCTTTATGACAAGCTGAACGCTCTGTGCAAGCATGAAATTCAAATTGATTTTATATTTCTTCTAGAAGATTAGAAAAACAGTACATTTGTGAGAAAGTCTTAGTGAGATTCAACGTTTTTTAAAGATTACAAATAGATTATGTTGAGGAATCAAAATGATAATGGGAAACAAGGTGAAGGATGAGGTCAGCAGCTAACTTGGGTAAAGATGCCATACCTCTCATTTTAATATAGTAATGTCAGCATTACACTGCGTCTCACTAAGACAGGATCTGCTTTGTTCATTCCCAGATCTATATTTCAGTTCTTGGACTCCACTAGAGCAGCTTTGCATCTTATACCAGGCTTTGTTATTATAGTTTCATATTTTCTAATTAGTTTTGATTTCATTTTTGACAATCCAGTTCAGTTGTTATATTCGATTTAAAAAAAATAAATAAATAATAACAACAACAACAACAACAATCATATGGGGTAGTTGCCAGAGGAAAGATTTAGGAAATTGTGTCCCCCCCCAATCTAATGATTTTTTTAGTTAACTACTGTAACCTTGGCCCCTTCAGCTCATCTGCTCCCTGACCTGCTTTGGCTTTCTTCCCCATTGCACACAAACAGACTGGATTGTATAGTTACTGGCTCTCATTTATTACTTCTTAGAAGACATTTTTTACTTCAACGATAAACATTTCCAGGAAATCAAACACGGCACATCAGTTATCATCCAATCCCATCTCTCCCATTACGGCGTTGTCATAGGTATAATTATAAAATTGAGGAAAAAACAAACCAAACCACAGACAGCACATTGTTTTTAGGGGTTTAATGGGTGTACAGTTGTTTAAAGGAAGTGATAAACACATACAAAAATACCCTTTCAATACATTTTTAGAAACAAACATCTAAACGACCTGTTTTGTTAAATGTTTCTGAACAGTAAAACATGAGTTGTCTGAAACAGAGTGGTGCAGATTCAAAAGACCTACCTGCTATGAATGCTATTTAAAAAATAAGAAAAAATCAAAAAGAAAAAAAAAAAAAATCACATGGTACAAATATGCAAATATAAATAAAGTGATAAGAAAACCCCCAAATAATGAAGAATATGCCTTTTGAAAAAAAACTGTTCTCTGTACATTTAGTTGGGGAAACTGATGCTAGAAAGCCTATGTCCCAACTGTCAACCTGCTCCAATGAAGAGGGCGCCCCATTAGCATCGCTTTACACTTTACTATGTTTATATTTATATATCCTCTGTACTGAAATCAAATGCAAAGACACCCAGCTTCAAGATGGAGGGTTGGGCAAGGCAAGGCAAGAAAGTAGTTATCTCCCGACCCCTCTCCTCACCACCACCACTGCCACTAGTGGCCCCAGGAGATGCCTTTTAAGAACCTCCACAGGAGGCGCAGAGGGTTAACACCCATATAGAAGGGAATTTTGTCTCTCTCCAACACATAAACACAGCCATCTATGCATGCACGCTCACACACAGTCAACCAGATATGCATGCATACACTCACAACTCTTCAAAAAGCTTCGAACCATCTTTTTTTGTTTTGTTGGGGTTTTTTTTTCTTGTCACAAAGCACCACAAACTTCCCAAAAGGACATGAAATGCACTCACAACCGGGACCTGGTTTTTATAAGGATCACACTTCACAAGCAAAACCAGACCACAGTGAACAGGTGGAGGGGTGTGTGTGTGTTTGGGAGGGGGTCAAGCAGTATTTCCAAACATTTTGTTTAGTCCTCCTGATGGACTAGAGCGAAATTACTACGTGTCAGACAATCAGCCAATCACAGACATAGAAAGCACTTCGGGGGAGGGGGGGGCGGTGTCTAAACCGTTCAACGCTCACTTTTTTGTGTCGGGACACTTTTCTGACATCTAGGGATTGAACGAACGTGAGCAGAAAAAGTCAGCCTTCTTGTCCAATCAGAGACGAACGGGTGCGACACTGAAGCTCAGACAAATAGAACTATAAGCGTCTGTGGCACTTTGATATGGTTCTGGTGACCGTTCCTGTTGTCATGACAACATTTTCTTGCCCTTACCAGCCCCTGAGAAGCTCTTGTGTTGCCCAAGATCATTTGCGCGCCTACACCTGGAGTCCATGCTGGTCCAATGAGCTGTGGTTTTAGTATCCAGTCACATCCAAGCACACCCTCATTAAACCCTCCCTGCAACCTATGCAGTATCTACTGAAGATATCCAGGGCACTGGACAGTTTGTTTTTGGACAAGCAGTAGAGAAAACAAAGAAAAATTACATTTTTTTTATATACTTTTTTTTTCCATTTTTAGATAAAACTACAATAGAATGGTCAAAAGTTTTAACGGTGATCTTTTGCTCCTTTTTAAGACAAAAAAAGTTATGTACATCAACATTTACTGTACAGGTTTCTGTTGAGGACAAAAGAAAATGAAGGAGTAAAAGAAAATCAGCATACACCAGAAATGTGTGTAGCAAGTGCTGATAAATGATCAGGGCCTTTTTTTTTTTCTTTTTTTTTTTTTTTAAACTGGAAAAAGGAGACGATGAAATAGAAGGACAGCATGTTTTCCTCTTGTAATGTGTAGATTTCTAAACACAGAGTTAAGAAGAAGAAAAGAAAAGAAAAGAACAAAAACCTGCTGCTTTAGTTCTCGTGTCATATCTCCGAGACTGCGGGAGGGGAGTTAAACTCCCCTCTGGCTGTGAGTGTGTGACAGCAATGGCCGAATCCCCTATCCACTGGCAAGACTGTAATCTCCAAGTCTGAGGTGAGGTGTCTGTGCTGCTTCACGCTTCAGACTGACTGACCTGAACGCCGCCGCCTGTCCCTGTGTGAAGTCACGTCCTTGGTGTTTGACTTGACTTAAAGCCCCTCACCTCGGTTATCTGTGTGAATCCAGTCTTTGTTGGCAGTTCAAGCTATATGGATTCTGGCCTTTTCTGTTTCTTTCAGCCTTTTGGCCTGTTCCTCCGACGATGGGGAGTGGGGTCTCTTGGAGGCTGCTCCGTTCAGAGGGTCGACTACTCGACTCACTAGCGTGGGGATGGAGCTGCCGATGGGAGGCACCACATGTTTGGATGTCACATGTTCTACAGAGAGAAAGATTGGGACAGAAATGGTGAGTTTTTCCACTAGCCTTTGTATTGTATCTTAGCTTAGCATGTGCTAACAAACTAATGGAGAAATTATGCAATACATTTGGATCTTCATTAATGGATAAGATAAAAAAAAAAAAATCACTTTCTTATATACACACAATACAATCTAATAGATCACAAAGAGTAAAATCTTACTTGACCAACTCAACATCGTAAAGGAAAGCAAAACAAAGCTCTGCTTTTACTTTAAAATGATATGGAAAATGTGGTGTTTAGTGGGGCAAATCAGAAACGCAGCAGGTCGCTAAAGAACACCTGTAGTGAGCAGCACTGCAGATGCACGAGTGTGGTTTGCGATTAGCAGCACTGATGCGTCACCAAAGTCGACAGCTGAGCGGTGCGATGGAAAAAACATCTGAACTAATGTAGTGTGCATCACTCAGAAATGAGTGCAAGATCACCGTTCTGGAGGTCACAATTAATTCTAGGACAGCTGCTGGTAATGTAGGCCGAGGTGATGGTTACCATTTAAAACAAATGCTGTGCTGTAGTGCGGCTTTGGGGTTTGTTATTGCGTTTGCTCCAGCCATTACATGCTGGTTCATAAGTATTTTGTCGAAAAATCTTAAATCCAATGCTACTGCGAGCTGAAAAATAAATGAATTGGTTGAAGTTGCCTAACCTCATTTTTTTATCTGATTAAAAAGGTTGATCTTTTTAAAGGAGTTGTTCTTTTTGCTTTAGGGCATGTCTTTGATCCAAGAACCAGGGTTGCTAACCCTGATAACACACATCTGGGTTATTTAGCTCTTTAAAATAAATAAATAAATAAATAAATAAATAAATAAATAAAAGCACAGGAGAATTTGATTACAGAAGCTTGATTAAATGATTTGATGCAATTGATGATATATGACCCTATTAATTCTTTGATATTCCACAGGCAGCAGTATGCCATGAGTGTTTTTCAAACAGGTGTCGGATTGTTCTGCCGACCTGTAAATGACCAGATCGCAGAGTGATTAATCTCCTGTCCTTTTAAAGTAAACAAGAAAGGTAAATATAGTCTCTGATAACTGACAGGACGCAGCAGTGACTTTACTACAGGTTTATTAAAAAAAAAAAAATCTTATGGACATCGCTGACGTTTGTTTGTTGCTTGTAATTTATTTGATTTCTAATTAATGATGTGCAGTTTTATGAAAAGAAGCTGTTGAAACAGATACTCACTTGAGCCAATCACAGGAATGGACATGCCCTTTTCCTCGCTGGCAGCAGGAGCGTCTGTGGTGAGGGCGTCCTCAAACACGGGCGGCTTGGGAGGTGTGATACTGCACAGACACGTTGAAAAACAAGCAGGACAACACATACAGCACATCAGAATTGCATCAGTGAAAGCAGCACTTTCAACTACTAAATGTGATGGGAGAAAAACTCCATACATACAAATAAGTGATGAAACTCACTTGTGGCGGTTGAGGGCCAGTTTAATGGAATTTTTCACAACACGACAGCTGTTACTGGCAGGGAGAGGCGAGGAGGCATCAGGCAGCTCCATGCTGGGAAGTCTCTGAGGGAGGAAGAACAACAGCAGTGTTAGAAATCACCTCAAGTCTTTTAATAAGTGATTTAACAAGTAAACATAAAGAACTTGCTTGTGTTCTTGAGGTATCGATGGTTGGAATGGGCTTTGCCTTTGATCCAGCAAGAGAAGTCTAACGAAGAGAAAATGTAATTTGTTTTTATTGCTTTACATTACTGAGAAAATCCTTTATTATTAACAGTTAACAGAGGCAGACACAGCAGCAGTAACACCTACAATGCTGGATGCTTCTCCATGTGTTTGGGGGTCAGACGAGGGTGGATATGGTTCTTTGAAGGCAGCGTCATCATTTGACACCACCTGCAGCAGCAAAACAACAATGTCAGCATCTGGTCCATTCTTTTAAATATGTCAATAAGTTGTCCAAATGCTTACGTCTGTGTTTTTTGGCCTCTTGGCCGGGTCCTCTTGTGTGGGCGAGTGCGGTCTCTTGGAAGGAGCTCCGTTGACTGAGTCCTCCAGGCCGTTGGGCTCCTCTTTGGGGCTGCTGGTGGCGGTAGGCTTTGTGCTGCTGGTGATGGAGCTGCTGGCTGGTGGGGAAGGAGGCTTTGCTTTAAGAGGAGGTTCTTCAGGATGAGGAGGTGATGGAGTTGGGAAATCAAAAGAGGACATGTTAGAGACCAACTTAACAGGTGCACAGTAACACTTTCTGCATTTCCTTAAAGTATTGCAGTTTAAAATCGACATTTCTGTTAGGAAGCAAAGTAAAACATGCATTATACACAGTCCCTGTGTGATTTTATTTTAACTCACTTGTACCAATAACAGGGATGGACATGCCCTGGTCTTTAGCTGCAGCAGCAACAGGAGCAGGAAGAGGAGCAGCAACAGCAGCAGGAGGAGCAGCAGCAAGAGGAGCAGCTGCAACAGGTGCTGGAGAACCCTCCACAAAAAGCTGCTTAGGAGGACTGACGCTGCAAAATGAAGAGCAGAAAACATGACAACAATTTGAAGACAACTGTATTCATGAGGTAAAAGGGGATTAGGAAAAAAAGGACAACACTAACAGTAAAAATTACACACAAGTAGTACATCATACCTGTCGTCTGTGTCAGATGTAGGCTTGGAGGGTTTGCTGGGCGGGGAGTTAAAGGGAGTCCCTGAGTCTGTGTCTCTGGAGCTGTCCAGGTGACTGCTGTCGAGGGAGAGCCGCTTAGAGCTGCCACCATTAGAACTACGGTTCAACTCTGCTATGCTCTGCGGGAGGACAGATTTGTTAAAGGAGGAGAACAAACCTAAAAACAAGACAAGCATCGCAGAGCAACATCTTACTCTCTTTTTCTTCTGCACCACTTCAGGAGGCAGGTACTGATGGAGCTGCTTCTTCTTCACATGTGTTGCTTCAATCTTCATCCCATCCTTCAGCATGTTGATGTTGTTGGCTTGTCTGTACACTGATGTGCACAATGTCACGTTAACATTGACAGGACAGACAACGTCTACAGGTGTATATAAATGTTTGTTAAACATGTAAAAATCATACAAATAAGCTCCGGTCATTTCTGCCAATTTACTCAGTGAAACACCCGAGATGTATCTGTGGTATGTTTGTGTCCTTTTTTTAATGTTAAAACTCCATTTACACTAAATGTAACAACATAACTACAGCAGCAGAAGCACACAACCTACACACCACTATAAACCACAGTAAATGATTGATTGTTAAAGTTGCAAAAACTAGTGTTTTTTAAAAATTTTTTAATAACCATAAAAAAACCAAACAAACCCAAAAACATCTCCCCCCCACTTTACTTTGCCGTCAGCCCATTTTCAGTGGAGAACTGAACTCATCACCTGCGCTTTTGAAAGCCACCAAATTTGTTTGACTCATACAGAAACTTTACGTTTCAGAGCTGTATGTTACACAGCCGCACGAATGATTCATCACACTGTGTGAATCTGAGTAGTAGGACTCAAAAGCCTAGTTTAAAAAAAAACAACAAAAAAACAATCTACTTGTGTATTCTGGAAATAAACGATTGTTTCTGTGTGGATAGGATGGAGACAGTGTGTGTATGCTCTGTTGGGAAGGACTGCCGTAAGATATGGTGCAGCAGTAAAAACATTTTTTGCCTTCGCTTCGGTACCATTACTCTCTTCAGCTTTTGCAAACTGCGGACATAGAAAAGACTATAAAGACTAAGCACAACACGGACATCTCATAGGATCCCTTTAAAAAAAAAAAAACCCCTCAACAACAAACATCTGAACTAAACCTTTGGAAAAAGGAGCTAAAATGTTTGGAAAGGTATTTTCTGCAGCACTTCCATTCAGTTCATTTATAAACTCACCTGTTTTCCCTGTTATATACACTAAAGTAGAGCACATGTTAATGCTGAAAAAAACAAAACAAGCCATTGTCCTTTTTCCTAGCGTGTTCGAAAAGATTTAGCAGCAATTTTTCCTTCAGCTCATTTAAAACGCAGAGTGAGGTTAGACCTACCAGTGTCTGTGAAAGACTGGATGTCATATGTCAAGTCTATGTTCACACTCTCTGCATTCTCCACCTTCTTAAAGATGATCCCAATAAACCACATCGACACAAAATCGTTCCTGTTGGAGAAAGACACAAAAAGAGCACGCTCCCTTAGAATATGTCTCGATGTTCTGGTTGAGCGTCTGTGGATGAAGCTGGACTCACTCGTTCCGGTTCTCTTTAGATCCCGGGAATGACTGAGGGTTTACATGAGCCAGGGTGATGTACTCGTTCCTCTCCAGGTTTCCCACCAGAACACGGATCTTTGACTCCACCAGGCCGATCCTGGGGAAAAAAAAACAAACAAAAACAAACAAAAACAACAACAACATTAAGACGTGGTCAGGGAGGGTACACCACAAAGCTGTGCTGACAGGCACATGTCATCGATCGATGATGGTCACAGTTAAAGGTGATACCTCACCAATCAAGGTGATTTTTATCTATACTTATCTGATGCATGAGAGCCGCATTAAATTCAACCTACAAAGCTGCAGATTCCCGTCAATTCTTCACAGATAACTTATGCTTGCAACACAGCGCGCACACATCTACACTCTGACTCCTGCGTGCTCTGAGGTTGGCGTGTATGTGACGCGGCAACACTGATTCATCAAATAAGAGAAAACAGGAGAATAATTCTGACTGCTCAGCCTTGATTACACTTTCCGCGTCCATGAATCTGGTCTGAACGACGCAAATATGTGCACCCCATGACAGTGGACCCAGGATAACAGTAATGACTGTTATACTACTAATGACAAGCTTGCATGTCAACATACAAACTTTTCTGTGTGTTATAAATGTGACTCTTGCTGCAGCTGCTACGCTTTTTTCCCCTTTGTGTGCATGTATGAGACGTATTGTACGTTATGAATGGTGAATAGCAGCATAATCATAATGGTAGACTTCTCAGGCACCCAGTGGCAATGCAACAGGGGGAAATAGGACGACTACACTATGAAGCAAATCGCCCAGTTACAGTGCACTTGGTACAGTTTTCCAACTGATGTGCAGGACAAACTGTATACGATGGCTGGATATAGTCACTGTAACATCACCCATTAAGTGAAGGCCTGTTTTTGAAGCTTCAAGCTGAGTGTTTTGGCTCTTGCCGCAAATCTCAGAGAAACCTAAGGAAACCGGATGGGGCTCACAATCACAAGTTAGGCCTGCTAAATCCTTGTTTTGGACTTAATCGGACAAAAATGATCATTATACTGTCTTCGATAAGACCTGACACTAGTTGCTGAGACTAAACTCATCAGGAAAGAGTTTACTGAGGTTCTAGATGAAGACCTATACATCTAAACAATTTCACTTTTTGTTTTAAAAAGAACAAAAGTCACACACTTCTGCAAAAGCTTAATTTGTCACACACCGAAGCTACATTCACCTTTTTCATACACACTTTACATAGATGATCCTGTACCATGACTTTAAATACAGATGAAACTAAGCTGGCATGCAAACTGGCAGGCTCAAATGTATCAATTAATATCAAAGACAATGATGGCTGATGGTGATTTACAGATTTAGAGCTCCTGAGCTACTAGAAATCCTGATCTTTGACACTCACCATTCCAAGTGGTTTTCTTCTGTCGATGCACTGGCAGTGAGAACAATGTAATGTCTGCCACAAAAAAAAGAAGAAAATAAATAAAGTTAGACAAGTTATGGTCAGAGTTTACCCTGCTTCTCACCCTGAGACAGCTGGGATAGACTCCACCCCCCCTCGACCCTAAAAAGGATAAGCGGAAGAGAATGGATGGAAGTTATGCAAATAATAAATCCAGAGGTCCTGAAAGACCTCAGGCTTTCACAGAGACTGGTGTTGGTCTGCTGATGCACTACTGTGCAGTCTTAATGATCTTGTACCAATCCTCAATACCACACCGAGGAGCAAAATCCACAGTTTTTGGGCATCGACAGTCCCACCACTGCTCAGGTGACCATTGTAGCTCCAGTAACAGAGCAGCACCAACAGAAAGCCAGCAGAAACTGCGTGTGGGAGGAACATTCATAAACAAAGTGAGTCACCCTAAGTGACCACAGAATGACTCAAATTTGCCCACACCACAGAAACAATAACTTGCTGGGGGGGGTAGAGCAAGTTGCACTAGTTTGTTTCAGCTGCATAAATCATTTGTGTTTTTTTAAATATGCACCTGGCAAATTCAAAATGTAGAACAAGCAAAAAGCAAAGGGGAGGGGTGTCCCACACAGGTACACTTACATCGCTATCCTCAGGCGGTTTCAAAAGCACAGACAGAGCACTCACTTGTATTTTTGGAAAAAGTTGGGCGGCTCAAACAGTTTGGACCACTCTGCTTTGCCCTGAAGAATCTCATCTGTGACGCTGAGACCTGTTCGTGATAGAACGAAGATGGATTTGATGACTCAGCCCTCGTGTACACCCAGTGTAAATTGGAAAACACTGATGAAGTGACTTCGCAGTGCTACGTTGCTGATTCACTCTTTACCGTATTTGAACTCCTCGCTCATGATGGTACGTGTAGACGTGGAGACGTTGTATGTGGAGTTCTGCTGGGGATAGGCAGGTGTGATGATGGGCATCAGGTGATATCTGTCAGCTGGGTTCACCTAGAATTTAAAAAGGTCGATTAATTAAGGAAAGACGCAGCACAGGGGACTCTTGTTGGGTTCTCTGCAGATCAGGGAGCTGTTGCGTCAGTGCACTCCACCCACCGAGCAGAATGAGAAGATCAATTTCACCACAACCCACACCCACACGCACAAAAGCAACATAAAGCTAAAGGTACACACATCCCACCCACCCACACAGTACATCCCAATTCACTCTGCTTGCCTTAAATTTCCCTCATTTGCATTTTTTCCCCTCAGGCAATGTGAGGATGGCGGAATTAAAGAAACTATTTCTAAAAACAAAACAAAAAAAAAAAAAAAAAAAAAAAAAAAGGCTATGAGCCATAACTAATCTTTAACATCAAATGAGAGCTATTCATGTTTGCCAGCATTACAAAACACTTGAAATTTTATGTGCACAATGAGCCTTAACACCAGCTGCATGATAAGCATCACCAAATCTGGATTTAGGCTGTCACAAAAGTGGGACACATTCTTAAGTATCCTGCATATGATTGGTTTTACACTGGATACTTGCTTTTCTGTATTTAAGAGAGAGGGGAGGACCTACGGCCAAATGCCAACTTACCACCAGGAAATAAACAGTTTGTGCTTTTAACAGTCCACACTGTGATGAATGTCTCAGCGTAAAACAAACATGTGGCATGAATAAAATCTAAACGGTATTTTCAGCCTACAGCTCAGCAGTCGCCAAGTGACTGAACGGAAAGGACACCAATATGCAATTAAAAAGTGTTTATTGCTGAAGGGACACAATAAACATGACACAGTAGTTACAAAGGGCTTGAGTGTTTTCAATTAAGGCAAAAAGCATTTAGTTTGAAAAGAGATTTATAAGCAAAGTTATAAAAACAAACATATGACAGCTGGAAAAGGAAAAGACTGAAAGAGACGAGCTGCTCCTGCTCTGACTGTAAGAGAACAGGCTCAATAACCCCCTCTTATCAACTCTGCAGCGCCCCCTGGTGTAAGGATGCGATCACCTACAGTCATTTTACATTCAAAAACAATTTGTTTTTTTACATCAAAACGCAAAATTAGGAGGCCACGTTCATTTAAAAGCCACCAAACCACCAAATACTGTTCATTAAAAACCACCCAAACTATCACAGGAACAACAAATGTTCAGACGAAAAGATTTTTTTCAAATCCCGAGAAAGTTTGATTAAATGTTCTTTATTTTTACACAGATCCAAGTCATTTATTAATAGCTTCAATGTCTTCTTCAGTTTAAGTAATTTCCCATGGCTCTGTGAGGTTGACAAGCTAGAACAGAGTTACATTTGCAAAAAAAAAAAAAAAAAAAAGTCTCAATATGTCCTGAAATATTCTGTACACACGCCATTGCCCCACTCAGCCCTACCACTTATGGTACGGTTGCCATATGTATACTAGTGCTAGAAAGTACGAAGGGCTTAGTCTCCAAAATAAATGAGACGCCCATAAAAAAAGATTTCAGCTCTATTCTGTTTCTAATGCACTTTCTATTGTAGGGGTGTTATCTGACAAGACGTCCATGTGGGAAGTCTTCCTTCCTCCAAACTGCTCTGCTCTGGGAGGCCTCCTCCGAGCAGAGTTAAGAGCACTGGAGCTCATGAGTGGGACCCAATCAATGTCGTGGTCACGTGAGGACATAGGGATGAGGAGACATGAAATAAGAGATGTGAAATGTACCTACACACTAGCTGTCGAGCCAAATTTAAAAAACACACCAACAAACTTATCACATCTCCATCCAGATAGCTTTACCAGTGTCTACACAGCAATACATGTGCAAAACAGAGGGCATAACAATACCATAAGAAGGTAAAACACTGGTGTAATACTCACTCTCGGGTCCCACACCGGCAAATTTAAATTACTATCCTCAGGCTGTTTCAAAAGCACCGGATTCGGCCACTCCCTGCAGGGGGAAGGTAATGAATGCAGTAAATAAATATATTTGGGCTGTGAGACGCTGCCAAAAAGCAGAAGACGATAAGTTGCAGAATCTTACCATTTAGAGAAAACCAAGAAGAACTTATGGACAAGTGTGGCAGCCACAGCGTTGGGGTAGAGCTGGCAGGTCCTGGCTACCAACATAGCCCATGACACTCCACCCAGAAAGCCCAGCATGTTGGAGTAGATTCCTCGACCTGCAGCCACAGGAAATGTTACAGGTTATTGAGAAGAGCATCACTAACCACTCTGCTGAGTTATACACTGACATGTGAGAAAAACAGGAGGAGCGCTTTTGTAGTAATAATAATAATAATAATAATAATAATAA